AAAGTTGCTTTACAAAGTGTGGACAACTTCCGTGCCAAAATTCTTGAGTGAAAGTAAGTTTGACAGTTCATCTAGATTAAGACAAGAGGGGTGGATAACTGTTGGATTGAAAAATTAAAGCATAAAAGAAAAAAAGAGGAAAAAGAAGAAGAACCCTAGTTGGGATTTAGGAAGAAGATGACAGAAGGAAGAGGAGAATCCGTTTTAGGGCTGGGGAGCGTCTGTTTTAGGGGATTAAGTTTGGGTCTTTTAGAATTAGGGGTGGGTCGGATCGGGTCAGTAGATTTAGGTCGGGTTTGGTATTAGATAATTAAAAAAAGAAAAAAAATGTTGTTTCCATCTAATAAGGGCATATATGCACAACTATTGGACGGTTTGGACATATTTGGGCCGGACTAATAACGACGGGCACATTTGTCCTATTTCGCATAGTTCACGGGCATATTTGGACTTTTTCCCTTTTTTAATTTCTCTTATTACATATAGAACTCTAATCCAAAATTGTCAAGTCTTCCCGTTGGCCATTTGTATTCAATGCCAAAGTAAATATGGTAGGCTTGCTTCTATTCTTTTCTAGGTTCATGTCTTTGGCTACTCCTTTATTTCTCAACTCCTCCAACAAAGCTAGATTGCATCACCTCCCTCTGCCCGTTGATCATATCTACCTCAGCTATTACTTCCCCACCTTATAGCTCGAAATCAATTACTGATCATTTTAGGTGAAATAATAGTTTTGGACACGTGTTTTCGGGCAAAGAAGAAGTGCGAGATAGAGAGAGGAGGCTGGTCTTTGAAAAGAGAAGAAGAGGGATATTTATGAATTCCTTGAGTGGGTCTGTGGTGACACTCATGGATAACATTGATCCTTGAAATTGTCGAGAAAGTACACAATTGTAGGTTTTCTGGTGAAATTGGGAAAAGAGTCAAAGACCCAGTTCAGATGTTAGCGTACAAATTGTTTTAGTTGCGATGAGTTCAGGAAATGTGGGGCGGCTGCCATTGATGAATGTTGTTAAATTTAAGGGAGTGCCAATTCTGCAGCAATTGCATTTGGAGGAACGGTTGGTCAGGACTTCACCTCAAAACTGGTGCATTGTAAATGATGGAACCAATGAACCCACAATTGTCATGGGTATTTCAGGGTGAGCTATCAATTTTCACCCTTTTTATGGTATGACTCTTTTTTTCCATAGTAGTACTTTTGCTAGAATTGTTTCTTGATTATTTTTATTGGCGGGTTCATTATACAACTTGTTTTGACGATTGGATTTGCACTTTCCTTCTGCTTCACTAATTAATCTTTCACCATCTTTAAACTATATAGTGCTTGTGGGAAATGGTGGAGCCAGGAAGGGGATTCGAAAAATACGAACCTAAAGCAATTTAACATATGTGTGTCAAAAAGACACTGATAACGAGGCCAGTTTTTCCACTTTCTGATATTGTTTAGGTTGTATATTCTTTGGAGCTAAGCTATTAGTATTAACTGCACTGCTGTTGTGCAAGTTCTAATCTATCAGCTTACAATTGATGCAAGAAGTTACGAGTACTTGATGTATGCCATGGCCATAATGATAGGACATATTTTGTTGTATGTCTCTAATTGAGTTAATTGTATAACAACATTAACCATTGTCACAGAAAACCAGCTGAACTTCTTGAAATCGGTTCTGTTTTGCAAGACAAGATTCAAGTAGTAAAGAGGTTTACTGGAGGAGGCACTGTAATAGTCTATCACGGGACAGTATTCCTCTCCTTCATATGCAATAAGAATGTTGTCCCTACTGTACAACCATATCCTAGGCCCATCATGTCATAGAGCAGCCAACTCTATAGCAAGGGGTTTCAAGGAGGTGGGGATTTCTCTCTTCGTGAAAATGGTACTTTTCTGCTCCAGGATTATTTTCATTGTTGAATGTCTAGCTTTTTGCAGGAAGAGTTGCAGGTTTTCTCCAAGAACCAAACCCCCTTATCATTTTTCCTTGGATCTTGTGTTTCCGGCTTACCACAAACCGACCACTTTAACTTTCTTCACAATTCAAACAAAACATGTTAGAATGGACTCAGTCGGTCCTTATTATTATCATCATTTTTTCACTTTTTTTTCTCTTTTTCCTTTTTTTCGATTGATCGAACCTGATGTGGGTTGCCTACGTATCATGTGGGAACATGAATCAGATCTTGCGTAGTTCGGGAAGATCAAGAATAAAGTAAATAAACTAACCTTTTTTTGGATTTTGGACTTTTTCGGAAGAAAGACTTAAAAAGAAGAAACAAAATATTTTTTGATTTCGATTTTTGTCTGTATTATTTTTAAAAGAAACTCTAAAGAAGAAAGAACATATTTTTTTTTAAATTTTATTTTGAATTTATGCAAGAAATGCTCCTAAAGAAAAGGAAATATTTTTTGAATCTTGAATTTTCTTTTCATATTTTGAAAGAAGAATGACAAATATTTTTGGATTTTGAGAAGAAACTAAAAGAAAATATTTTTGTATATTTTTAAAAAAATAATTAGGGTATAAAAGAAAGGCTTTCTAAAGCAAGTAATGGAAAATAGTTTTGGATTTTTTGAAAATTAAGGTCTCAAAAAAAGACTTTTCTAGAGAGGAAGTAAAGGAAAATATTTTTGAATTTTTTGAAAATTATGGGCCGGAACCGATGAGGTTTCCCTACGTATCTCACATCCGGTGAGAATCAAACCCGCGTAGTTCGCCCGTTTCGATGCAACAAGAAAATATGACTTATTTTGAAATGACTTTTCTTTTTTTTTTTCAAAATTTCAACAGAATTTCAGGGTAATTCAAATACCTACCTCTCACTCT